CTCAACATTCAAAAAATGAAGATCATGGCATCCATTCCCATCACTTCATGGCAAATAGATGGGGGAAAAGTGGTAACAGTAGGAGATTTCATTTTCTTGAGCTCCAAAATCACTGTGGACTGTGCCTGCGGTCAGGAAATTAAAAGACCCTTGCTCCTTGGAAGAAAAGCTATGACAAGCCTAGACAGCATATTAAGAAGCAGAGACATCCCTTTGCCAACAAAGGTCCATGTAGTCAAAGCTTTGGTTTTTCCAGTGGTCATGTACAGATGTGAAAGTTGGACCATACAGAAACCTGAGTACCGAAGAATCGATGCTTTAAAACTGTGGTGCTAGAGAAGACTCGTGAGAGTCCCTTGGACAGCAAGGATATCAAACCAGTCAATTCTAAAGGAATTCAACCCTGAATATTCATTGGAAGGAGGCAAAGGAGAAAGTGACTTAGCGTGCATGTATGCACACTATTTGCTGAAGCTCCAGTATTTTGGTCACCTTATGTGAAGAGTCGACTCATTGGAAAAGACCCTGATGCTGGGAAACATTGAAGGCAGTAGGAGAAGGGGACAACAGAGGATGAGATGGTTGGATGGCATCATTGACTCAATGGACATGAGTTTGAGCCAACTCTGGGAGATGGTGAAGGATGGGAAAGCCTGGCATGCTGCAGCCCATGGGGTCATAAAGAGTCAGACATGAGTGAGCAATTGAACAACAACAAACTTTTCAGAATGAATGTTAAGATCTGCATCATTTGGATTAAAATACTACATACAGTTGACTTTGAACAATATGGGATTTGAACCGTGTGCATCCTCTTACACAGTTTTTTTTTCCCAATATCAACTACTATAGTCGTACACTATTTGCAGGGCTTCCCAGGTGGCACTAGTAGTAAGGAAACTACCTGCCAATCCATAAGACATGAGAGACATGGATTTAATCCCTGGGTCAGGAAGATCCCCTGGAGGAGGGCATGGCAACCCACTCCAGTGTTCTTGCTGAAGAATCCCACGGACAGAGGAGCCTGGTGGGCTACAGTCCACAGGGTCACAAAGATTTGGACACTACACTGAAGTGACTTATCATGCATGTACGCAGATTATTTGCAGTTAATTGACTCCACACAGGCAGAGCAGCCAGAGACACAGAAGGCACACTTCAAGTTCCATGGAGATTTTCAACCATGGCACAGGGTGGGCACCCTTAACCCCCATGTGTTCAAGGGTCAGCTGCACTATACTGCTGTATTTAAAGCAGATAACCAGCAAGGACCTACTGTATGGAACTCTGCTCAATGTTATGTGGCAGCCTGGATGGGAGGGGAGTTTGGGAAAGAATATATACATATATATATACATATATATGTATGACTGAGTCCTTAAACTCTTCACATGAAACTGTCACAACATTGTTAATTGGTTATTCAAAATAAAAGTTTTTTTTAAAAAAAAAGAATAAAAAATAACAATAGGAAAAAAAGTGGTATGAACTGCAAAAAGAAAATTGGCCTTGAACATTTCCTAAATGCATGCCTTAACATTTGATATTCAAATCATTTTCTCTTGAAGCATCTAGTGGGACATTTTCCTTTCTCATTTTCTTATTAACTGCTTCTGCTCTTCTAGAAACACACTTTTCAGTGGCCTTGTCTGTAATTTGATCAGGTCACCAAGAATGTTTTCGACTTCTTTAAATTCAGTATCTTCATAAATTTTTAAATTTTGCTTTACACTCGACATGCATTCTAATTACATGATATTGTTTGGGTTAAGCCAAACCACTCAAGTATGACATTGACTCAATGAGGCAGAAATGAATATTAGTGAAAAATGGGGAAGGGCTGTTTGAGTAGTCACTAAATAATTTATTCATTTGTGAATATTTTTTTTTTGCTTCATTAACCAACCTCATAAGGTTGAAGATTTTAATAATCAACAGTCGCATAAAGAATTCCTTGTACTTTTGATTTATATTCTCAGTCCTAATCCCGTAGATCGGAAAAAACCAAAGATAATGAAGTCAACATTCTTCCAAAATGAAGAGTAGAGCTGTGAATGGCTTCTCAATTGCTGAGCCATCTAGAGTTTGCCAGCGTTACTAATGATCTGAAAGAAAATGAAAGCCATGTTGCAGTTTGTGAGAGTAGACCTTTGAGCCAGAGGTGCGGAGTTATCCATAAACTGCAAAAGAGAATGAAATCACAACCTCCCTCACCCCAAAAGGAACTGAAGCCCTTGCCCCACCCTTTCTTAATTCCAGTTTGAGATGTCAATCAGCATCTTGGCAGCAAAATCACAAAATGTTACACCTTCTTATAAAATTTTATAACGACAGTCAGTCGGATACTGGGTATCTACATAACTGGGAGGAAAATCCCTTTAATTTTCTTCCATAAAGATTTGTACTAGGCAGAGAACAGACTTGTGGTCGCCAGTGGTGAGGATGAATTGGGAGTTTAGGATTAGCAGATGCAAACTGTTATGTATAGAATGAATAGACAACAAGGTCCCACTATATAGCACAGGAAACTATATTAAATATCCTGTGATTAAACCATAATGGAAAAGAATGTGAAAAACATGTGTATGTATGTACATACTTATGAAAGTCTTAGTTGCTTAGTCGTGTCCAACTCTTTGCGACCTCATGGACTGTAGCCCGCCAGGCTCCCCTATCCATGGAATTCTCCAGGCAATAACAGTGGAGTGGGTAGCCATTGCTTTCTCCAGGGGATCTTCCAGATCCAGGAATCAAACCCAGGTCTTCAAGTAGATTCCTTACCATCTGGCCCACCAGGGAAAACCTAATATATATAACTGAATCACTTTATGGTGCAACAGAAACGAAAGCATGGTAGATCAACTATACTTTAAATAAATATTTGTACTAGGATTCTCGAACGTAAAGGAAAAAGTAAAATTTAAAGTTGGTTCCTTCAGAGACCCAAACTCCTCTTATGTCATGATGCTTTCTTAATCCACTAAGAATTTCCCAAAACAGTAGCTATTAATGATTTGCTTGTTCAGTATTCCTGTTTGCAAGCATGGCATCCCTGCCTCTCCCTTTCAGCTGTTTTATCTGTGTCAAGATTCTGTGAACAGGAGAACAAATGGCAGCCAACTCCCACTAAAAAAATCAAAGCTTTGAAAGGCCATGGCAGAAGTGGAGAGACGTTTCTCTCAGATGTCAGAGTTCTTGAGTGCCTCTCTTGTCTCTGTCCTAATTAAATTCCCAGTGAAGCTATTCGCCTCTTATGGGACATTTGCCTCCTGGCTGACAGAAGTCCTTTTCTCCCTTTGGGAGAGAGGGTGGAGGAGGATGGATCTTGACTTGTCTTCATTATGCCTCAGAGAACTAGAAGGATGAAGTAACACCCCTCGTTTTAGTTTAGGAAATGAATCTTACTATCTGAAAAATTATCATACGGTTAGGAAAAAATTCTGTTAAAATACTTTCAAGTTCTAGAATCACTACAGTTTTGGAGCATGCCTTTACTTATGTGCTTAAGAATATTTTTCAAGGATTTTAAGTTTATTACTGTAAATTTAGTAATTATAGTAATTGCCTGATGAGAGGTAAGAATATAAAAATGAACTCCTAGGTATATGTGTGTGCTCTCAGTTGCTCACTCACGTCTGACTCTTTGCAGCCCCATGAAGTTGTAGCCCACCAGGCTTTGCTGTCCATGGACTTTTCCAGGCAAGAATAATAATCATATAAAACACAAATAATTGAAGAGTTTTAAATCACTATTTTTCAGTAAAAATTTCTAAAATGACATCAAAAAGTAGACTTATATCATTCAGTTCAGTCGCTCAGTCGTGTCCGACTCTCTGCGACCCCACAGACTGCAGCACTCCAGGCTTCCCTGGCCATCACTAGCTCCCGGAGCTTGCTCAAGCTCATGTCCATCCAGTCGGTGATACGAGCATATGATTATTTTATGCAAATAAATACTGGAGTTTTTATTGGAGTATGATTGCTTTACACTGTTGTTAGTTTCTGCTGGACAACAAAGTGAATCAGCTACATGTATACATATCTCTCTCCCTCCCCTTCCCACTCCCACCTTTCTAGGTCATCACAGAGCACTTGGCTGAGCCCCTTGTTTTATACAACAGCTTGCCACTAGCTGTTTTACACATGGTAGTGTATATATGTCTGTGCTACTCTCTCAATTCACCCCACTCTCCCCTTCAGCTATTTACCAATACCTAAAGCAGCATTCCAAGTCTTTATGCTAATCATATATATAAAATACACTTCTAAAGCGATACACTTCTAAACTTCAGTGTAGTCAACCTGGTATACCAAGCATTGGCCTGAAACAAACAACAAAAATACCCAACTCATATATCCCTGTTGTGCCACTTATAAGCTATTGACCTCTAAACGTATCCTTGAACTCCTGGGGCCCTCACTTTCCTCTGTTCTAGGTTGTGAAGTTTGTAATCTGGGGTCATTAGCCTCGTCATGTAGGCTCTGCTCACTTCTGAATTGGTCAGGTCCAAATGCTTTGTTAACAAATGTAGCAAATAAAAAGTGTTCGTGATTCCCATCATTTTCCACTAGTCTAGATAAATTCCTATGCGTTGAAGATGGATTTAATATGTACTTTTTGGAAAACTTAAATATTAAGGTCTTCAGTGTCTTTCTGCAGTAAGAAGCAATCACCAGAGTGGTTGGACCAGAGTCTAAAAAAACCTAACTGTTCTTTCCCCATCATGTCACTTGTCTATCTTTCTGCTGCTACTCCTACATCACTTCAGTCATGTCTGACTCTGTGCAACCCCACAGACGGCAGCCCACCAGGTTCCTCTGTTCCTGGGATTCTCCAGGCAAGCTATCTTTCTGAGAGCAGGTGTATTTATTTGATTAAGGGTATCAGTAGCTTCTCATGAAAGAATAGTCGAATTAAATCAACTAATTTATTTTGTGCTCATGTTCAAGATACTAGGAAGAAACTTATTTGTGTCTCATCTATGCTGATTGTTTTCTAGGACCCACTGATCTCAGCATGAAGAGGCAGTTGGCAACCAGCTCAGGATCATCTAGCAGTTCAAGCTCCAGACCTCAGCTGAGTCCAACTGAAATCAACGCAGTGAGACAGCTGGTTGCGGGATATCGAGAATCCGCCGCATTTTTACTGCGTTCCGCAGATGAACTGGAAAATCTTATTTTACAACAGAACTGAGTCCGACAACGATCCTCTTCACTGAGGTCGAAATTTGCAGTTTCCACTAATGACATTTTGATTTCCCAGCAGAGATGCATCTGGTCTTAACTGCACAGTCTTAAGAGAAATACTTCCATTATGCCACATTGTCCTTGATCCATAAAGTGATGTGTTTCGGTGCTTCAAAGGAACCCTGGCCTCTGAAGTACTTGAGATACGTTAATGTGTCCAGCCTACTGCTTTTTGTTTCGGGTGTGCCCGCAAAAATATCTGGGGCAAAAAAAAAAAAAAAAAAAGAGGCTGTGTATTCCTAATTCAAGGATAAAACAGAAGAAGCTTGTGGTATAAAAAATAGTTCAAAGTCCAGCTGAAATATTAGTGGAATTTGCTACTGACTTACTGGACTGAAAGCTGCAGTATCTGGAAAAAAAATAAAATAAAAGCCAAAATTTCTTGTTGCTACAGGATATAGCAATGAAAAGGATCTTGTATTTTAAAAAAAATGTAATTTTTATAAAAAGAAAACTTGTTTTTTCATTCAGAATTGTCATTTTTACTTTGGTAACTTTTTCATAGGTCCTAAAAGAAAACTGTTTTGAGAAACTACTGTACCTTTTCCACATCCCTTTGCCTTCTCCCCTTTCCAAATTCTTTCTACAAAAATAACACTTGATGCTGGGAGGGAAAAAAAAAAGATTCCCTTACCTATGTTCTTTAAATCGTCACATCAGGAACTACTTCCAAGAGAAGCTTGCATTCTGCACTCATGCTGCTCTCAAGCATTCCACTCAGCACTGCAGCTTTACCATAGCGGTTTCAACACAGAATTTTTTTAATATTCAAAAGAGACATATCATTGAAAAAAAAACACACCTTGATTTCTTACAGCTGCTCTCCCGGATTGCCGCTGCTGTCTTACAGGCATCCTTCTAGCAGCCACTGGATGTTGATGACTGAATGTTAAAGAGGTTGCAAGTGACAATCTGAAAATTTGCACTCGTGTGTGTTGCTTTCTTTTCTCTTTCAGGAATAGTTTCCAAAAAGAGACATTACCTCTCCTGAAACGATTTGTATAATTTACACGTGTAGGTAAAAATGATGTAAAGGACTCTCAGTGGAGACAGCCGCAACTTACAATGAACTGTCCCCTCCTCCTCTCTCCCATATTTGACCTCCTTATTTTATAGTGTTGGATACACATGAATGGTGTTCTCTTTGTGCACTGAGGCAAGTCTATTTTTAAAATATTTAGGGAGGAGTACATCCGTTTACGCTTCTTGTACACTTTTTCTGTTGTTTAGCCTTGGTTGGATTACAGATTCTTTGTGCATTCCTGAATTTGCCTTATTTCATGTAAAATTTATGTCATTTGGGTTTTGATAAGTTTAAGGCATCAGTGACATTTCTTAACTACTTGTTACATATAGTTTTTCAAGTAATGACTGTGGTTGTGACCAAGTAATGTGCACTTTTTCTTGTAACTGTGGACATTGCTATGCTTTTTTCTTCTAGTGTTTCTAGAATTATGGTTCCTTACAGTTATGTAAACAAAAAAACAAACAAAAAAAAACCTTTTGTGATACTGTTGGTGAATATAATGTGAAAATCTTATTGAAATATGAGTATTTTGGAAATACATAGATGCACAAACATCTTTTAAGGTGTGGATTTAGAATTTGCTTATTTAATTGAAAATTCAAAATATTGAGGGCTGGTATAATTTTCTGTTTTGTTGGGTTTAATAAACAGATTTCTGTGTTAAAACAATGATTGTGAAAACTTATAAATTTTCTTAATCATATGAAATATTATTTTATATCTACATTTAACACAGAATTGACAATTCAAATATATTTCAAGAGCATCCCAAGGTCCCCCAGAATCTCCATATGCAGGCTAGTAAATAACTTATTCCAAGAAGGAGTAAAGCAAATCAGCAAACCATATGTATTTCATTTGATTAAATATGATTTAAGAATGTATCTTTTACTCCCCATTTTTAACATGACTAATCTGGCTCTTTAATTCATATTTAGCATTTTGGGAAAAACATACCAGTTTTAAGTCCCTGTTTTATGCTTTGGGATTTGTTATTGAATAGTATTTGAGGCTTTGGCATGGTTACTATTTCAAAAAGTAACACCCAGGTTTGGGTTCAACCTATATATAAAAACCCATAATAGTGATCCTTATTAAGCACTTTGATTGGAGAAGGCAAGTGCCAGCAAGGCGCTTCTGTTTTCATTTCATTTTCAAGTTATAACTCCCACACCCATCCACCAAGAACTAAATCCCCCCATGCCTTCTGCTTTTTGCACATTTATCTAAAAGAATAAGAGCTCCAGGACTCCCACTGTTTCCCTGGGAGAGCTCTGAGGACAAAACCATGTACCACTTTGTAACTTGTACCTGAAAAGCACCCTGGTCTTTTTTTTAATTCTCTCACATCCCCTTTATCAAGCAGTTTGGAGAAACTGGGTGCAGGTTCATATTCTCATTCAAATGAGGTGATAGAAAACTATCATACATATGGAGATCAAATAGATATTTCTGTCACTTCTGACAGCTTTTCATACAGCCACAGTTTCTTGACACACATGTATTACTTTATCACACTTAGTAAGGAAACATTCCTTGAAGTAATGGCAGAGAATACAAACACAAGTAGATACTGAATTTTCCTAAGTTGTGTAAAGTAACAATTTGATAAAAAGGGCATTCAGATAATGATAGCCACCATTTACTGAGTATTTACACATGGAAAAGGCATTTATTTCCTTTACTTCTGACAACACTAGGAGATCAGGATAGTCACTTTTTATTTTACAACAAGGCTTATGAAGACCTTATGGTACAACAAGGCTTATGGTGCCTTGCTAGGAGCCCCAAGAGAAGGAGAACTAAAGCCCTCATTTGACCCAGGCAGGCCTGGTGCTGGAGCCCCCTCTATTGGTAGCCAGCGTCTGTTACCTCCCAGGGTTTCCCTGAGAGTTCAGAAGAATCCACCTGCAATTCAAGAGACATGGGAGATGCAGGTTCAATCCCTGAGTGGGGAAGATACCCTGGAGGAGGGAACATGGTAACCCATTCCAGTATTCTGGCCTGAAAAATCCAATGAACAGAAGAGCCTGGCAAGTCCAAAGGGTTACAAAGAGTCGGACATGACTGAGCAACTATACACACACTAAATCTTTACATTCTGTACCAACTTGGAACCTGACCAGTTTATACTAAAGTTTAACAGTTTTATTTATCTACAAAAGATAAATAATAGTTATTAAAACTGCACTTGACATCAAATAAAGCATTTGACTAAACACTGAGCATTTTATCCAACTTATGGAAGTTTAATTTCCTTTATGTTCTCTACAGATATAAAGAGCAGTCATAAAACCCACCACTAATGAAAATCAAACACACGGCGCATGAAGGAAATGCAGTGACTTGTTTTTAAACATGATGGGTGCAGTAGTGAATCTGGAAAGTAAAGATAAAAGGGATTATCCAACTGATGTTCATACATAAAGTTCATGAAGTTCATTCACCTGAGATTTTAGTCACTATGCAGGTGCTATCTGGTTATTTCAATTAATCCTGGTACCATTAATGTAGTATTCATAGATTAGTCTTGGCATGCCAAAAATAATTTTACAAGGCCCAGGTTTCAAACTTTAGTTTGTTAAAAAAAAAATCCAAAAATAAATCAGGTAGACATTACATTAACTCTGTTTATGTTTTAAACTATGTTTGACATGCAGAAATTCAGTGAAGCAAAAGCTAACCTACAGGAGTTTACCATTTAAAGAGAATTAAAATCTCTTTTCTTAAAAATATTTTGAAAGGAGATAAAATGCTGCTAATTGTCTCAGGTTTTAAGATCAATCATTTTCAACATTTTATTTTCTGATTACAAAAGAAACCTAGCAAATGCAGGAAATAAGGGGGAAAATTCCAGCACCTATGAAGAACAATGATAACATTTTACAGTGTATCTTTCAAAGTTTATCTAAACAAGTAAACTTTTTAAAATTTTGCTCTGCATGGTGTTTCCTCATCTGCTTCTCTGTCCTAAAAGTATACCATGAATACTTTCCACATCATTAGGTATTTTCTTTATTATTTCTGAAGACTGTATGGTATTGTATGAATGTACCTGTATTAATTTTCTATTACAACTGTAACAAATTATCCCAAAACTACAAATGTATTACAGTCTGGCAAGTTGATGTATTGCTGATCCTGCTCACAGAGCCAACTGTTTCGCTGTATCTCACTGAACACACTAGTTGTTGAATGCATGGTAGGCAAGGCATGAGGTAAGAAGACTGAACTGCAGACATGTTCATTCTCTCCTGCCTGATGAAGCAGCTATAACATCACATAACATAGCCCCAAGGGCTTTTGAGGTGGAGCTTATATAATAAAAGTAGCCCATGGCCAAGCGATCACCTCATGACGCGCATGCTCAGTGCTATAAGTGATCTCAGCTGTTACATAATTATTTACAAAAGTGGGGCAAGAGCGAGAGGCCATGGGATGAGAGAGCCTGCCCACTGCATCTTGGCTGATCTCTCTCTCTACTGTTGGAATTCTCACTAGGCTAAAATCTAGGTATTGAAAGGATTATGTTTCTTTCTGGTTGTTCTGGGGGAGAATCCATTTCCTGACCTACTCTAGCTTGGAGGCTGCCTGCATTCCTGGCCTTGGGGTCCCTTCATCTTCCAAGCCAGGAGCTTAGCATCTTCAAATCTAACTCTGACATCCACTTCTATCCCTTCTTCCATCTTTAAGGACTCTTCTGAGTTCATTGGGCCCATATGAATAAAATATGACAACCTCTTTAAAGGCAGATGATTAGCAGCCTTAATTCCATCTACAAACCTAAGTCCTTAATTTTAACATGTAATAAAACAGATTCTGATGATTAGGATGTGGACATCTCTCTCAGGGAGGGGGGATTATTCTGCCTACTCTAGTATTTTAATTTCCTTTTATTCCCTTTAAAATTGCTCTCATATCCAGCTGTATTTCATCCATTCACTATAGTAAATTCCCAAGTCAGCAGCACAAACATTTTATAAATAATTGTCAGCTGCTGTATCTGTATTTTTTCTTCTGTATAAAGGGTCTTTAGCAAATTGTTTTAATGGCATTTTTCTCAAATATCACACATTCAAATCAAATGTAACAAATGCATATGTAAAGCATGCAGCTAAATCTTTCAAGTGAAATGAAACAAAAATACCTCTGAACCCTTCCCTTATTTTGATTTCTTAGAAAGTGATTCTGCCCAAGAATTCCCTGAAATGCATTTTAGGCAGTCTTATTAGACCAGAATAGGTATGGGAGGATCCAAAATCAATTTCTGTAAGCAAGCCAACCACATTCATAAAACTTATGGTGGTAGTTACCAGTGGTGTTTTATTTACTCTGAACAAATAAAAGGTATTAACATTAGATGTTATTAGATGACATGTCTTTTAAAAGGGAAGGTTTGGCAATAACCTATTGAATTTAGGATAAGCAAACAGGTTTAAAAATTAAACCTCTTTACCTCCATTTCTTTGTGAGAAAACTATACTTTATTTACATTTTAAAATTTTTATTTCCCGTCAATTACTGGGCTTTTTTTTTCCCCTTTCAATGGCCATCCACTGAAAGAGAGGATCAAAGATAATTCAAGACCATTTACAATCATGTAAGAGGAGAAAAGAAGAAAGAAAAACAGACCACAGAGAGCAGATATTATTACTCAAAGTGTGGAACTACACCAGTTTTTTTCCCTTGAAAATATTGACTTCTCATATTCTTTGTTTATCGGGGAATGGAGGAGATCAGGCTGCCTGTGAAAAATGCCTTTCTTATTGAAAGCACTCCATTACAGTGACAGAACAAGTGGACAGAAATTCCACAGTAGATTATTACTCTTTCTTCCGCTGGTAGAAAGATTCCAAAGTCTGTTTTGATTCTTAGCTCATTTTAATTTCCATTCATTTCATTAGTGTATTCTTTAACCTACTCTGTGGAGGCATCAGGCTCTGATACAGTGAAATTCCTGCTTCAAGGGGTCACATCTAGTGGAAGACAGAGACAGAAGTAAAGATGGTTAGAATATGAAGGATAAGGAGAGTGTGACACGTAATGATACAATAGGAACATGTCAGACAGGTCAAATGAGGTCACGGATCTCTATAGCAGTCTTGTCTGTATCAGGGGTTGGGGGGTGAGGGTTAGGGCGGAGGATGAGGTGCCAGAGGCTAGCTAGTCACAAAGATGGAGCTGTGGGGAAGGAATACCTGGCAAAGTTGTTGAGTGTGTTCAGGGAGGATAGAAGAAGAATGAAAGATGAGTCAGTGAAAGATATTTTCAACTACAGAGGGCACCACAAGTTGAGGATGGAGGAGGCAGTGTATAGCACGGCACACAGTCGCTCAAGCAGTTGCCAGAAGGCAGATACTGAGATGAAGAGAGGCTGCCAGATCGCTGGTGTCTCTGTTGACTACTTGTGGGAACTTCAGCTCAAGATGACCTAGTGCTAGGTCACAGGACCATCCTCCATCCTCCAAAGTGGGGGGGAGGATGTGTTTCAACATTCCTGTCCACTCAGTCTTCCTTCAGATCTGTTTCCTAAGGATGAAGTCACTGGTCCCCCCCTTTCTGTGGTTTTAGGACAAAGCCCATTCCTTCCTTGTCCCTAAGCTACTTAGGTAGTACTAGTTGTTTCTCATCATTAGGAGTTTGATTTACTTTGGAGGATGAAGAAG